GGGGGAAAGAAAGCGCACTTTACGAACCTGATTCGGCCACCCATAAAGCGGTCCAAACGTGGATGGACTCCAATGTCAGCCCCGGTGAGATGGAGGCCTACGTGCGGGGGGCGTGTAATTGGGTCAACGAGTCGTTTCATTCGCTCGTGCTCAAATATGCGCCCAAGAGAATACGGTTCCAAGGCAGCATGGTGGCGAGGATTGCTCTCTCTGTGATGCATTGGAACCATACAGTCACACGCCTTGTTATCGCCATCCGTACACGTGTTCGAAAGGCGACAAGGGTCCGCCGTGGCGGCAAGGAGCGGATTCTCGAGTCCATGGACTGGTCTTGGGTTGATAGAATAATGTCCAACTGGAGGGATTTCGGGTTGGAGCCGGCCGCCACAACCTTGGCAGCGGAGGAGCGCGCTGCTCCACCCCCCACTCCCCAATTTGCAGTCCCTCCCTCCTGTGCAACTGCCTCACCGTCTACCCCCGATGTGACTACGTTTACCTTCACTGCTCCTGGTGGCCGCTGCATTCCCACCTCCTGGGCCACGCAACGGCGGCGGACGCTCTCCAATGCCCGTCGTGGAGGGGTTTGCCGGCCTCTTTTTCGTATGTGTCTCCTCCTCATCAAGCATTCATCTCTTGCGCTGTTACCTTAACAGAGATCTGAGTTACTGCCGGCGTGAGTTGTCCTTGCCTCTGTTGTACCACATCCCTCACTGCAGGTGATCTCAGGAACCTCAGATGATGGGGTGTCTACCCAAACGGGTTTGCGCGCACACCACAGGCGGACGCGACATGTACCAATCCGGTAAGTAGGGTTCTAGTTGTGTACTGGCCCAACCACCCCGTACCGCTTTTGGGCTCATCTAGCCCGTCATATGCTCTGGTTTGTGGCTCCATTCCCTTTCCCCCCTGCCCTTGCACACATTCCTGCCCCCCACGTTCATCCCTCCCTCCCAACCCTCCTGTCCATGGAATTACAGGCTTCGCGATTATGACCACAGCATTGGGGTGCCTGCTGCCCCCGCGTCCAGGCTCACCCGGGGCCATGATGAGATTCGTTAGGTGCGCGCCACGCATGTCACACACAAATGCCACCGAGCCCCTTCCCCCACTTCCTCCCTCTTCCCAATCTGGTATTGTCGTCGGAAACTTTCTTGTTCCTATTATTTGCCTCTACTTGGTACTATGGTATTGGGGTTATTGCTCTATGCTCATGTCTTCCAACCCCCCCCCCCCCCTCTTTTCTAATTGTGTGGTGTGCAGCTCCTTGTTGGTATCTGCATCCCTGGTTCTCCACGTCATGCCCCAGAATGCTGGCTCCCCTTGGCCATCATTTACAAGCCTTTACTTGTGGGTTGGGCGCCTTTTGCTGCGCCCATGCATTCTGAGGCGCATCATCGCATGCTTGCGCCACTCAGAAAAATGTCGAGAGACAAGATAGTTGGTTAGGAAAAGAGAGTGATACAAGGAGGGGTTGTACCCTACACAGTAGGTTTCAGTAACACATACCGAGCCTATAATTAGATATAACCTATATGATTTAACACACCCCCAAGCTTTGGTAGTCCCAAGCCCACCCAACACCCAACACCCCCAAGCCCGTGCACCCCCCAGGTCCTACAGCAAGAGGGGCTGCTACCCCTCATGAGAGCGGTGACACCCACGCCGGGTGGCGTCAACGGCGGCGGTGGCGGCGGCAGTGTTGACGACGGCGCGGCGATGGCGGCGGTAGCGTTGACGACGGCTAGCGAGGGCGGCGGCGACGGCGAAACTCGCGGCGCTGGCGGCATGGCACGGCCCGGCTACGACCGGGAAGAGACTCAGCATCTGCGGCTGGAACTAGGGTGGTGCAGGGGAGGTGGCGTGGCGTCAGCAAGGCGCCGTGGCTGACACGGCGCTGGCTGATGTGCGGCGCGAGCTGGCAGCGCGTAAAACGTTGCGGGCCCGCTGCCGCCCGACGACACGCCACGCAGCATGACGACGCCGCCATAGCGCGGCGTCGATGCTGCCGACGACGCCGCCACAGCACAGCGTTGATGCCGCAGCGGCACGTCGACGGTGCCACGGCAGCACGACGACGCCGCCATGGCAGCTCGGCATGGCCGCCACGGCGGCACGGAATTGGCGAGAGGGCAACTGGTACCATGTTAAAGGCGGGGGATACAAGGAGGGGTTGTACCCTCTACAGTGGGTTTCAGTTACACCTACCAAGCCTACAGTTATATGTAACCTATATGATTTAACAAGATGGCCTTCGACTCTGCCCTGTATCGCAGAAACTTTTCAAGCAACTCTAACACTATGCTTGGAAAAAGTTCAAGTGTGCACGCTTTTCAAGAGGGGCTCTCTTCAAGACAGCCTTTACTACTCTAGTCGATGTCTCTAAACAGGTTTAACGCCAGTGGTAGTGTCATGGGTTTTGCTGCACCCGTTGTTGTACATTATTCACTGTGACTTGTCATCGTAGCTGGGTTTGGACTCTCTAACGCCCTTCGAGAAGTCCAGCATTTCTGTTCCCCACGCTCGTACCCTTCTGGCCTTCCGATTCCTGGAACATGGGCAGGTGTGGAAGAGATGGGTGGAGAGAGAGTGGGAGAAATCAGCATTTAAGGGAGGGAGAGTGGTACCCCCATCCCATGGTGCAACGAGGCATCAGCTGGATGTGGATCGGATGTGCAACAGGAGAGTGTGGCATTGGAGGGGTGGGCGGGAGTGAGGGAAAAGGATGAAGAAATCTATAACACCACACGAGTATGCTAGTGAGGTGCGGCATTTACACACACTTACAGAAGTAGTGTTGAATGGGAAGTGAGAAGGAAGGCGCGGGTGAGCAGCCTGTAGTGCGAATAGGGAGTGGGGCAGGGCAGAGAGGGAGGTCAGCACGTCGTCAATGGCGTTCCGCTTGCAAGGGGAGTGGGTGTGGAACACACGCCGCTTAAGCTGAAGGGGGGGTGGAGGAGCAGGAAGGGGAGGGTGGGAATGGGGGAGAGGGATGAGCAGGAAGGGAGCTGGGTGGAATGGGGAGAGGGATGAGCAGGAAGGAGCTGGGGTGGGGAATGGGGAGGGATGAGCAGGAAGGGAGCTGGGGTGGGAATGGGGGAGAGGGATGAGCAGGAAGGGAGCTGGGGAATGGGAGAGGGATGAGCAGGAAGGGGAGCTGGGGTGGGAATGGGGAGAGGGATGAGCAGGAAGGGAGCTGGGGTGGGGAATGGGGGAGAGGATCAGGAAGGGGAGCTGGGGTGGGAATGGGAGAGATGAGCAGGAAGGGGAGCTGGGGTGGGAATGGGAGAGGGATGAGCAGGAAGGGGAGCTGGGTGGGGAAGGGGAGAGGGATGAGCAGGAAGGGGAGCTGGGTGGGGAATGGGGGAGAGGGATGAGCAGAAGGGAGCTGGGGTGGGGAATGTGGAGCGAGACGAGCGTCGTTAAAGCGCTTTGGGGTCAAGCAGGGGGAAGGGGTAAGAGAGGAACGCCAGCAAGGACCCGCGTCGGGAAGAACCTGCAATGGGGGAAGAGAGGGAGCCAAGTGGCGTGAGAGGGGGGGCTGAGGGAGATAGAGGTGACTCGGGGGGGCAGAGTGTTGGAGCTTTGAGGAATATAGAGGCGGATCTGAGAGGTTAGTGAGGTGGGGCTGAGAGACTGGGGGGGGCTGAGGTGGAAGGGAGGGGAAGCCGGGGGGAAAGAGGGGATTCGTGGGGAAAGCGGGGAGTCGGGGGAAAGCGGGGGGAGACGTGGGGAAAGCGGGGCAGACGTGGGAAAGCGGGGGCAGACGTGGGGAAACGCAGACGGGGAAAGCGGGGGGGAGCCGTGGGGGAAGAGAGGAGGCCTGAGTGTCATTAGTGAGGGAGCTGTGAGGAACGGGAAAGGGCAGGAATTCGCTTCCCAAAGGGCCGTGGGGGGCAGGCAGGTGGTACCTCCAAGATTTCCGTGTCCGGTTTTGCGGGTACCTGCTTGCCTCGGCTCCCGTGCTCGCAAGCTCCTACACCTTTGTCCGAATGCGCAGTATTTGCGGCTCACCTGGCATCATTCGCAGAGTCGGTGGTGTGAGGGTACACGTGGGTCGAGGCCTCGCATGGTCCCACCGTGGCATGATGGTCAAAGAAGGTTGTGTGGGCGGTTCCGAGCCGCCCGCGACACCGTCTGGAGAGGGGGGTGAAGGGGGCAGGGGATGATGTGCGCTGGGACGCTCGAAATATGATGCAGGGTTTGCGGGGCGCGTGCGGTGTTCGTCGCGCAACTCGTCCTACCCCTCGGATCACAGCTGTAGTGTGCCTGCATTCCCCTTCGCGTTCCGCGCAATTCCTCCCTTCGCGCAATCCGCGTCCAGTATCAGTGTACCATGTGCCCCAAAGCGATCTTCGCTTTTTCGTAGGCGGAATCCGTCGCGCTCGCCTCATCATGTCTCACGCTTTCGACCGGGGTATCACGGTATTCCCCGGTCCTTTAGGCCTACTTGCTCACCGTCGCCTGGGAGTTTGTTTTAGCTATTTACCCTGCGTGATAATAAGTACGGTTCTAACCAAGCTGCGAAATGCACCAGATTGCTAAACCTGTTAGGGTTCGGCTTGCACGATCTGCCACGATGTCCTATCGTGACTCGCCCTTGGCGTCGCGGTTGCGTGAGGACGCTCAGAGTCTTTCTCGCTTCCTTGATTGTGTCTGGCTGCATTCCGCGTAGGTTCTTGACAGCGGTAAGAACCATAACAGGCACGCCTGGGTTTTGCCAGTAGCGTGTGGTCATGTTTGCAGTTTCTGGGTTGCTGGTACGGGGAGATTCGGACTCGGCTTGGACATTGTTTGGTTCGGTTCGGTTTCCCAAACTTCCTCGTTACGTTGGGTGGACATTGCGAATTTTGGGCTGATTACTACCATCGTTTTCCCTCACTTTTTGTTTCACCCCTCGCCTTCCAATCAACTTCTTCCGAGTCTGAGCAACTGCAAAATACTGCGGCACTTGATACCCTGGCTTTAACCAGCATCTTCACTGGGGTACTCTGGTACTAAAGAAATTATTTGTATATTCATTGCGATGTCTAAATTGCTGCTAACACTTATCCAAGGAAATGTCAGTACTGAATACCTAAGCAATGCACATGTACGGAAGGGGAATGTTTGACGCCACTAAGGGTTCTTCATTCTTCGTATTTGCTGCTCGTTCAGGTCGACTATCCTCTACATGGCTGCCTCCGCATCCTCGCGAGATACTCATTGTCATCTTCAGCGCAGGCCTCCTGGTACTTGGTACTCGCTCACCAGTCGTTCATGTTGCTTTCCGCCTCGGTGAATTCCATCTCGTCCATGCCCTCACCCGTGTACCAATGCAAGAAAGCCTTGCGCCGGAACATAGCAGTGAACTGCTCGCTCACACGCTTGAACATCTCCTGGATGCTCGTGCTGTTGCCAACGAAGGTTGATGCCATCTTCAGGCGCGGGAGAATATCGCACACGGAAGACTTCACATTGTTGGATCCACTCGACGAAGTATGACGAGTCTTGTTCTGCACGTTCAGCATCTGCTCGTCAACCTCCTTTTGCTCATCTTGCGCGAAACAGGCGACGCGGTCAGGTAACGGCCGTGTCTGGGATCAGCGGCGCACATCATGTTCTTAGCGTCCCACATTTGCTGGGTGAGCTCAGGGACGGTCAGACACGGTACTGCTGAGAGCCGCGGGAGGTCAGGGGAGCGAAGCCGACCATGAAGAAGTGGAGGCGGGGAAAGGGAATCAAGTTCACTGCAAGCTTGCGCAGGTCAGAGTTCAGTTGGCCAGGGAAGCGCAGGCAGCAGGTGACACCGCTCATCGTAGCCGAAATAAGATGGTTGAGGTCACCGACTGCACGAGACAACGAAACGGAAGTCAGAATACCGAAGTGAGATAACGTTGTGGCGGAACTTGCTGGTAACCGACATGCCAGCAACTTACAGCTGGGTTAGCGAGCTTGAGAGTGCGGAAGCAAATGTCATAAAGAGCCTCATTGTCGAGGACCATGCACTCGTCAGCGTTCTCGACGAGCTGGTGCACGGACAGAGTGGCATTGTAAGGCTCCACAACTGTGTCAGACACCTTCGGCGATGGGAAGACAGAAAATGTTAGCATCATGCGATCAGGGTACTCCTCCCGGATCTTGGAAATGAGGAGGGTACCCATTCCAGATCCCGTACCACCACCGAGGGAGTGACACACTTGGAAGCCTGCATGAGGACGTTAAAGAACGTAGTTAGTGATGGTGAAACAGATTCTCAGAAGGAAAATGTTAAAACTTTCTTATCCGATGGCTGTCATATAAAGTTTGTACCTTGAAGGCAATCACAGTTCTCAGCTTCCTTGCGGACGACATCGAGAACGGAATCGATCAACTCGGCACCCTCAGTGTAGTGTCCTTTGGCCCAGTTATTGCCGGCACCGGATTGGCCGAACACGAAGTTGTCAGGACGGAAAACCTTCCCATATGGACCAGAGCGAACACTGTCCATCACACCAGGCTCCAGATCCTGGAAGAGGAAAAATAAAATTGTCAGGAGAAAATTCCAGCAACCACATATTCAAAATGGCGGTGTCAACAAGATTCAGCATTTACCATAAGAATGGCACGAGGGACATAGCGACCACCGCTGGCCTCGTTGTAGTACACATTCACGCGCTCCAGCTGCAGCGCGGAGTCTCCCTTGTAGTTACCCAGAGGGTCGATGCCATGCTCCTCGCAGATGACCTCCCAGAACTTGGCACCAATCTGATTGCCGCACTGGCCACCCTGGATGTGAAGAATTTCCCTCATGTTGATGATGGAAAAACGTAGGTAGAGAAAAGATGGCTGATTACACCAGACTTAGCAGGGAGACGGGTGTGTGAAGCTCTAGGCTGGGTTGAGAAGTGAAAATGAGCCACCTTTATCAGATGGAGGGGATCTCAGATTCCACCAGACTGTGCTGCTGCTGGGAGTGCCCTTCAGGATTGGATCAATCTGGGTGTCTGCGATTGGCGGGTGCCTGGGTGAGTGGTGGTGGCAGAGGGTCGCTGCGCGTTATTGGCAATTCTGGTCACAGGGCGGGATCGTCGCAAAGCGCACCTACTCTCCTTGCGCGGAAGTGATCACATCGTCGCAGACTCCAGCCCCACGTGGGACAACAGCATGCGAAAATATCAGCGAGACGCACGCTGGCAGAGTGGGCGTGGGCGAAATCACAAGGAATCGCGATTTCGCATGTCTCCTGCAGCCGTTGGAGTTTGCGACGGTTTTTGAACTACGTGGCATGGATATTGCGTCAACGCCTTGGGAGGCCCGGAAATCGGGGGTGTGCGACCAGACAACTTGTTCCCAAATGTAAATCTCGGGGTTTCTGACTATGTGTCAGAGTTCCGCGCTTTCAAGTTGGCGCGAAGAGCGGTGAGCGCGACGACATTTCACCTTTCGATTGGACAAACATAGAATCGTGCCACTGGTTCATCAGGCTGGTCTTTACGCCACCGTGCATTGCGTTGTGTTGTGCTGTACTCGTCAATCCAATGGCTGTGGACCAACCAGGTCAGCCTTTGGAGTTTGCGTGATTGACTGCGTTCGTGGCAAGCAAAGCAGAGAACCGTATGGGAGTTGGAGTGTACCTCACTACTACTATTTCTTACCTATAATGGGACATTATTCCATGAACAAGAACCACAACCCTTTTACACCATAGATGCCTCATAATCCATAGGCACCACTGCCCTTTGAGATATATCTACAGTATTCTATTTTATTATTCATTAGTATATAATGCAAGTGCAACAGAAGCTTATACACATCATTGCATGTCGAGCTCCCGTATAAGACATGTATGCATGCACCGATCAAATAAGAAACTACATCTGAGACACCTTTGTTGCACCTTGGTTGAGTATTTTTCACTATACTGCCGTGTAAGAACAGAATGTCAATCTTTTTTATATGGAGCCCTCTCAAGACCTTCACCCTTAAAAATGTAGATACCCAATATTTAGTTATCAAATGGAGCTAAATAATTCTACTACTACCGCGTATGCATCCCCACAACTACCCTGTCTCTGCCCCTGAATTTGCCTTCCCTGAATTCAGGATGTAAACATTTTCAGCGCTTACGATTATCCTCCGGAGGCATCCAGCGCCACTGCACTTGCGTCGCCACCTAAAATCTCAACCCACACCGTCACAAGCAGCAGCAGCGCTACTTAGACGCAGGCAGCGGCACTTGGTGCAGACGCAGGCAGAGCATCCGCATCCGTGCACTCAACTGGCAGCAACACAACATCCACATCCCCAATGGCCGATCGCCCGCATCGTGCGGTCATCATATACGGCGACGGGCTCCTCATCGACGGCCCGCCTCCGTCGGCTCGTTCACCCGAGCCCTCGTCGCGAATCTCCGCGCCTGCCGATCAGCGAACGCCTCTGGAGGTGGTCGACGCGCCCGCGCTGCACCGGGTGGCTGCTGACGGCGTGTCCGGGCTCCTGGCGCTCCGACAGCTCCCCGCACACGGTGCGCTGCTGCCGCTACCTTCGAACCCTTGCCTCCTGAGTTCTTTCTCCTTTTAAATTCCGGATTGACTCCGGCGTTTGTTTCTGTACATTCTGATTCTGTCCTTGCATCGTCGCAACTGGCTGTTTTTTTTTTAATCAGGGACTCTAACTTTCAGGTTGGCACGGCCGCAAGGCACTTCCCATTCCCATGCCCCCATGCCCGCATGCCCCCATGCCCCCATGTCCCCATGCCCCATGTCCCCATGCCTCCATGCCCCCGTGCCCTCAAGCCCCCATGTCCCCATGCCCCATGCCCCCATGTCCCCATGCCCCATGCCCCCGTGCTCTCAAGCCCCCATGTCCCCATGCCTCCATGCCCCCGTGCTCTCAAGCCCCCATGTCCCCATGCCTCCATGCCCCCGTGCCCTCAAGCCCCATGTCCCCATGCCCCCATGCCCCCATGTCCCCATGCCCCCATGCCCCATGTCCCCAGGCCTCCATGCCCCCGTGCTCTCAAGCCCCCATGTCCCCATGCCTCCATGCCCCCGTGCCCTCAAGCCCCATGTCCCCATGCCCCCATGCCCCATGTCCCCATGCCCCCATGCCCCCATGTCCCCAGGCCTCCATGCCCCCGTGCTCTCAACCCCCATGTCCCCATGCCTCCATGCCCCCGTGCCCTCAAGCCCCCATGTCCCCATGCCCCCATGCCCCCATGTCCCCATGCCCCCATGCCCCCATGTCCCCAGGCCTCCATGCCCCCGTGCTCTCAAGCCCCCATGTCCCATGCCTCCATGCCCCCGTGCCCTCAACCCCCATGTCCCCATGCCCCCATGCCCCCATGTCCCCATGCCCCCATGCCCCCATGTCCCCAGGCCTCCATGCCCCCGTGCTCTCAAGCCCCCATGTCCCCATGCCTCCATGCCCCCGTGCCCTCAAGCCCCCATGTCCCCATGCCCCATGCCCCCATGTCCCCATGCCCCCATGCCCCCATGTCCCCAGGCCCCCCCCCGTGCTCTCAAGCCCCCATGTCCCCATGCCTCCATGCCCCCGTGCCCTCAAGCCCCCATGTCCCCATGCCCCCATGCCCCCATGTCCCCATGCCCCCATGCCCCCATGTCCCCAGGCCTCCATGCCCCCGTGCTCTCAAGCCCCCATGTCCCCATGCCTCCATGCCCCCGTGCCCTCAAGCCCCCATGCCCCATGCCCCATGCCCCCATGTCCCCATGCCCCATGCCCCCCCTGGCAGTGAGTGCGGCGCAGAGGGAGGCGTTGGAGCTGGCTCAGCTGCTGGACGTGTTCCACTGCGCGCACGCTCCTCCCCCCGCACGTTCCAGACACCCAGGTGCGAGACACGTGCCACGACTGCCCCCTTCCCCCCAAATCCGGCATTCTCTGGAGTCTCATCTTCCCCACCCCCCGCACCCCCTTGCTTTTCTCACCGTCACTCTCTCACAATTCCAGCCTTCCATTTCGTGCCTCCGTTTTCCTTGACAAACCACTCGCCCCCTCCCCTTTCTCTCTCACCCCTTTCTCCCTGAACCCCTCACTTCCTCCCTCCTTCCTTTCCTTCCTCCCCCCCCCCCCCCCCCCCCCTCCCCCGGCCCCCCTGGCTTTCTGTCGGCTTCGTTTTTCCCAATCCCCGCCTCTTCCCCCTCGTGGCTGGTCTCGTGCTGTCCGCTGAGCCCATCCTACTATCCGTCCACCCCACCTTCACTACCTCCCTCTCTCTCATTCTTATGTGCTTGCGTTTGCATGTGTGGTTGCATGTGTGTTTGCATGTGTGTTTGCATGTGTGTTTGCATGTGTGTTTGCATGTGTGTTTGCATGTGTGTTTGCATGCGTGTTTGCATGTGGGTTTGCATGTGTATGTGTGTTTGCATGTGGGTTTGCATGTGCGTTTGCTGTGGGTTTGCATGTGCGGTTGCATGTGGGTTTGCGTGTGCGTTTGCATGTGGGTTTGCGTGTGTCTGCATGTGCGTCTGCATGTGTGTCTGCATGCGTGTCGGCATGTGTGTCTGCATGTGTGTCTGCATGTGTGTGTGCACATGTGTGTGCCTGAGTCCAATCCAACCAACCACACACGGCCACCCATCAGCCGGCCGCTGTGAGCAGCGCAGATCCAGCGATCCAGCACTGCTGCTGCTGCTTCCTCCGCTGCTGCAATCTCATGGAGCACCAACCCCGCACCTCTGTCTGACCGGTACACCTCCCACGGACCATACCAGGCCATTATTGCCACACCTCATGCATGACATGCCATGCCATGCCATGACCCTCGCGCATTGACCGCGCGTTACAGCCAGCCCGTACCCGGTAGCTGCTGCCTTTCTGTGGAATGCTCGCATGCCTTACCTGTCCGAGCATGTCTCTTGCTATGCCGCCTTGCTGTGTTGGACCAAGCGTGGTCTCTCCCTTCACCTCTTCCTTTGCCCCTCCGCACTCTCTCGCTCTTCTCTCTCTCTCCCCCTCACCCTCTCATCGCCGCGCCCCTCTCAGCCTCACCTCGACTTCTTTCCCACCGCCATTCCCCTTTCTTACTTTCCCCTTCTCCCTCTCCCCTCTCCCCCCTCCTCTACAGCTTCATT